GGAGGGCTGAGGGGAGACTCAGGAGGGGGCTCCTGGCGAGGGCTGAGCAGCAGGATGAGCCCATTGGGGGACATGAGCTGGACGCCCCAGGCTCGTTGAGCTGTTAGTGTGGGGACGTCTATACAGCAACCACTTTTTAAAATCATTTTACTGGCCTCTTACCTATAGCAACCTATACATCCATTATACCAAGCGCACAGGTACAAATGTTGCCATCAACAATTTCAAAACATTATGGCTACCACTTTTTTTTAATGAGAAAAATGTTCAAATAAGCGGAAGGCCTAGGTAAAGGCCGAAATCAATGAGTGAGGGACAGAAAAAAAAAAAGAGGAACGGATAGCTAAATCCTAAGCCTTGCTCTTTAACCCTCTGTGGCCCCACTCTTTTCTGTTTGGCTCTTTTGCTGATACTGTGTTGTTTTCAGTATAATGGGAGGCATGCTGCAACCCAGGATCACGTTTTGAGGGAATAGGAATTGGATACAATTATGTATCGACTAGTTGATACAATCTTAGGAGGCTCCAATGGGGCTCTGGGGGTAGGATTGGTGGGCTGAGGCCATTTCCTTGGATTGGTGCCGTTATACAAAACCCCGCCAGGTGGCAGCACACACTGCAACTGGGATAAGGCGCGTCCCCAGAAACCCAGACTAAGATGTTAGATGGATGGTAATGCCGGTATGTGCTCCATGTCACAAAAAGGCTGAAAATAAAATAGCTGACCGGAAATATCCCCTGGAGTCTCCTTAAAACCCAACATTGTTGTCGTTAGGGAGTTCCCACGTAGAGCCGTCCCACTCACAACAGAGCAAAACACCTCCCGGTCCTTGACCGTCTCACAATGGTTCTGACGTTGGATGGAGCACATTGCTGGAGCCACTGTGCTAATCCATCTTGTCGAGAGCCTGCCTCCTTTTCACAGCCCCGCTACTTCACCGAGGAGTCCTGGTGGCTTAGTGGTTATGCACTGGGCTGCTAACTGCAAGGTCAGCAGTTTGAAACCACCAGGTGCTCCGCAGGAGGAAGGCGGCCCTCTCTGCTCCCATAAGGAGTTCCAGTCTCCGAAACCCACGGGGGCAGTTCCACCCTGTCCTGCAGGGCTGCTATGAGTCGTCATCAGCTCGATAGCAGTGAGTCGGATTTTGTATTTGTTTTGTTTTTGTTCTACTTCACCAAGCATGACGTCCTTCTCCGGGGAAGGGTCTCTCCTGACAACACGTTCAAAGGACGCCAGCCGAACCTAGTTGAAGGAGCAGGGTGCTCTCTGGAAGAGGATCGCAATGGGATCAGGTGGACAAAGGCCACTCCAAGAATCGGCGCACAGGAAACTCAAGTGGTAGGGAGCTTAGGTTCCCTGGGGAGGAGCACCCAGGACGGGGGTGGGGGTGGGGAGGACAGCTGGACAGCTGGAAGGAGGTCGTCCACATGAGCTGCCTGTGGAGAAACTGCTGAAGGGCACACGTCCTGCTGGGTGTGCGTTCCACAGCAGCCACCAAAATAAAATAATAAAATCGATGAGCCGACGGTTCACTTCACTGAGAACAACGGACAAACCGAAAAGACGCCGCCGGATGTGTCTTTATATGATGCGAACCAAACACCAGGTACTGAGAACTCCAAAGAATAAAAGAGACTGCTCTTCCGGCACCGGCTGTAAATGAACTTGAAGGCCTGGATAAAATGGGTTCTTGCCTAGGAACAGCTCATTTAACTAAGTTGACTCGAATAGACTTTTTTTTTAGACCAGTGCCTAACAATTACTGCCGAAAGGATAGAGGATGTACTCAAAGAACTGCCCCCACCGCAGGCCCTGTTCCAGATAGCTTCAAGGGAAAATTACCAGCCTTTATAAACAGTCGACTCTAAATTGCTTTAAACTCCTTTCTAGTCATGAGGGAGAAAAAGAAGCAAGAAAGAGCAAGGCTTCCAGGTTCTTTTTTAAGCAAGCCTAGTCTCCAGCAAAAAACCACCCGCCAATGCATGGACAATGGTCAATTCCACAGTCCTAACAAGAGGCAGAAAGCCAAGAGGACTTTCAAAGAACAAGGCATGCAAGGATAGTTCAGAATGGCGGCATTTCTGCACATCAATCATATGTTCCTTCGTAAAGGATGTAATGGAGATGCACTCTCAGAGTAAGAGACACCTGCTCCTACCTTTCTACCTGCAGACTCCTGGTAGCACAGTGGGTTATGCGTGCACTGGGCTGCTATCCACAAGGTGAGTAGTGCCCATCAGAGATGCAGCTTGCTGCTCTTATAAAGATTTATAGCCTCCGAGGCCCAAGGGGCCAGTTCTACTCTGTCCCGGTTGCTGCCAGTCAGA